AAAATTTTCCTTCTTCGGTTCCTTTAGTAAGAAAACATAATCTCCTATTTTAAACTGTCGAGAATTTACACGTTGATCATAATAGTATTTGCTTCTTTCTTGGCTTTAATAAGATTTTGTCGCGCTTCTTCGCGGATATCATATATTTGTTGAATAAAGTGTCTGGCTAGTCGTCCGAATATTAGTTCGTATGGCGAGAATTTTGTTCCTTCGTGGACGCTTGTATTATAAGAGAACATGGCGAGTTTAATGTATTCGTCCCAATTATCTTCTTTATCGATTTGTGTCTTTAAGTATTCTACTAATACGTGATGTGACCGTTCTATAGATCCATTTGATTGAGGATGGTAAGCAGTGGTTTTAAAATGTTGAATACTGAATTTTTTAGTTAGGATGCGTATTAAAGTTGATAGAAAATTGGTACCTTGATCGGTAAGGATAGCTTTGGGAGTTCCATAAATAAATAAATTCTTTTGTAAAAGCGTCGGCTATCGTTAATGAGGTGGCTTCTTTAATGTTACTGCTTTAGAGTACTTTGTTAATAAATCTTGCATGGTTAAAATATATTTATTTCCGTTATTCGTGATAGGAAATGGTCCTACTATATCTAGTGAAACTTTGTCGAAAGCTGTCCCGGGGTATCCGTAATAATCATAGGTTGTTTGGTTTTGACGCGTGTTATTTTCTTTAGTTGGCGTTCGCGACATTTTCTAATAAATTCTTGAATATCTTGTTTCATAGTATTCCAAAAATAATGAGGTAATTCAAAAATAATAGGGTGATCGACTAAATTTTGACAAATAGTTATATTTATACGGGTGTCGTGGAAAAATTTCTTTAATTGGTTAACAACGTATGACCAAAGAATGTCATCGAATTTATGCGTTTTGCTGATGCTAAAGGAGGTTAGTTGTAATTCGTTAACGCAGTCTAATAAAGAGCGTATACAATTTTTCACAGTTTGCGGTTCTACAGACAGTCGATTGTTTGTTCTTATCGGGATTGATATTAAATTATTTAATTTGATTTTCTTTACATTAACTCTTTCAAAATTGAGATTTTCGTATGTGGGTAAAGGATTTGCAATGGAATAAAGTTCGGCTCCTTGTCGTAAGGTGATCCGTCTAGACTTATAAAAATTACATGATTATCTTTTTGGTTTAATAAGTTATCTCTTATTTCGCGTATTTTTACTTTACTCGGAATTACGGGAGAGGGTTGTATAATTGGTATGATTTCTGAAATTACTGGGTCGACGTAATCGTATTCTAAATTTAAATTTGACATATTTGCATAGTCGTGATTATCGTTATTAGGAATTGAACTTTCGTCATCTGAATCGGAATCGTTTTCGGTTATATTAACATAATTAGAATTATCAATATTGTTACTGCGGTAAGGGATTAAAGCATTTGTTTCAATTGATCTGACGAAAGGTCCTGGTCTATTTAAAATATGGATTCGTCGGATGACTCATCATTATCTGAAGCGAATATTGGTAAAACTAAATCAGTGGGTGGATTTCGCGATAAAGCATCGGCATTATTATTTAGTGATCCCTTTTTGTATTTAATTTCGTAATTGTATTCTGCTAGCTTGGTTTTCCACTTCCAGAGTCTGGAGGTTGGATCTTTTATGGAATGTAGCCAAATTAAAGGTTTGTGATCCGTTATTATAGTAAAAAGTCTTCCGTATAAGTAAGGTCTGAAATGGCTAATACAATATATGATGGCTAGGCATTCTTTTTCAATTGTTGAATAATTTTGTTCCGCAGTGTTTAAAATTCGAGAAGTATATGAGACAGGAAGATCTTTTCCTACCGGTCCCTGACTTAAAATTCCGCCTATCGCATACCCTGATGCGTCGGTAGTTAGTATGAAAGGTCTAGTAAAATCAGGATATTGAAGAATGGGATTTGAACATAACGAGTATTTCAAAGAGTTAAAAGCTTCTACTTGTTTTAATTGCCAATTGAATATGCTATCCTTTTTCAATAAATCTGTTAATGGTTTCGCGACTTTAGAAAAATTAGGTATAAATCTTCGGTAATATCCGGCTAAACCGAGAAATTGCTTTATGTTTTTCAGATTTTTTGGAGTTGGAAAGTGCATTATTGATTTTATTTTGCCCGGGTCTGGTTTGACTCCGTTCGCGCCTATTATATGGCCTAAATAAGCTACTTCGTGCCTTAGAAATTCGCACTTGTCTGGTTGTAATTGTAAATTCGCGTCTCGTAATCTTTGCATTAATCTTTCGCATTTGATTTCGTGTTCTCTTAATGATCGTGCGTAAATGACAATGTCGTCCATATAGACGAATAATTCGTTTCCTTGTAGTCCCGATAGTACATTATCCATAAGTCTTTGGAAAGTAGCAGGTGCGTTTTTTAAACCGAATGGCATGCGCTTGAATTGGTAATGCCCATATGGCGTGGAAAATGCTGTTTTTTGAGCGTTTTTAAGTGACATAGAAATTTGATGAAATCCGGAAGCTAAATCAAATATTGAAAAGTATTTGGCTGATTCTAACTGGTCAAGAATGTCTGTTATGTTAGGAAGAGGATAAGCGTCTCCTATAGTTTTTTCGTTTAATCCTCGATAATCTATAACCATACGCCAACGTTTATTGCCTTGTGAATCTGGTTTTTTCGGTACTATCCAGATTGGTGAGTTATACGGCGATGTAGAATACTCGACTAAATTATTTTTAATAATTCGCCGACTTGTTTATCGATTTCTTCTTTATGGACAGGAGAAAACCTGTATTGTTTATTGTGTATAGGAATTTCGTTAATAGTTGGAATGTAGTGTTGAGTTGCGTTTATAGTTCCTAAAGGTTCGTTAGGCAAATGGAATCTATCAGAATGCTTAGTAAGAATTGACCTGACATGATCAACTTTTTCAGGATTTAAATGTTCGAGTCTCAAAAGTTTTTTGGGCGTGTGGTCGATAAGAATTAGTAGAATTGTCGTTGGTCGAGAAAAGCCCTAGGGTTCTCGCACAATCGACGGAATTAGAAATTTCATCTCCCATTACCGGGGTCTCCCGACTCTCGGTAATATACTCTTCATTGCAAGACATTGAATGCCCTAAGGTTTCAATGTATCTAGTAGATTTGTCTCCCATCTCTTCTTCGTTTTGGAATCGCACTGAATGCCCTAAGGTTCCAGTGTGATTAGTATTGTCACGTCCGGCCTTATTACTATGTCCGGGTATGTAATTTTTTTCCATCTATAAGGAATAAATCCTAAAACTATCAAACATCATTTGAAAAGCGCGCCAAAGCCGGCCATGACGCTTAACTCCGCCTAGAAACTAAGCGTGGCGCTTCGTAGCGCCTAAGGATCTCCCACCACAGTGAGAGCCCCTACTCCGGAGAGTTCCCTCTCTCCAGGCCGCCGCAGGCCCGAGCCGCCGAAACGAAGGACCTCAGAGCAGTCCCGAATTTCGGCAGTTCTCTGCGCGACACCGAACAGTATAGTCGCACTTCTAAATTCTAAGTCCAAATTCTAAATCCTAACTCTAATTCTAAAATTCTAACTCTAAGTATAATATTCTAACTCTAAATTCTAAGTCTAAATCTAAATTCTAATTCTAAGTTTTAGTCTCGAATTTTGTACTACTATACGAATAAATCAGTGTATTTATGTGTGAAAACTAGTGTTCAGTATTCTTCGAAACTTCCACTCCCGTGATAAAATACGATAGCGTTTAAATTTGTCATACGGCGTTTGAATTCAGAATAATTCAAACTGTGTTTGGAGCGGACCACCGCTCATCACAGTTAGAATTAACATTCTCAGCATTTGCCAAAATAAGGAATTGATAGTGAGGTCCGCCGCATATCAACCCTCCTTATTTGAGTAATCATTCAGAGGATGCATCAAATTCAATATGCCTAAGACGCGACGCGCGGGAAGGAAGAATCAATTACGAAAACTAAACCGACTCTATGGTCCTCGCACTCCTGTTCGTCAGCGGTCAGCGGCAAGGCGGCACGAGGAGGCTCTTCGGTCTCCCAGAAGCGGCGCACGAGAGCTACTAGGTCGTCCCCCGTGGAGCATTGTAGAGACGACACGGGAGCCGCGACGTGACCGGCTCCAACGACGCCCAGCAGCACCTAGCCAAAGCGAGTCAACAGGGCACCGGGCTCGCGTGGTCCTCCTCGGCGAAAGCCCTCCGGCAGAGCGAGGTCCAGATAGACATCGGCGCCAAACAGCAACTCCACAGCATCCCGACGGTGGAACTCCGGGTCTGCAAGCTCGAGACCGTCGAGGTGAGGCCAGGAACGGGCCTCGCCTTCCGAGGCTCCGCCGTACACCGTGAGGCGTGGGAATACAAGCGGCGAGACGACGAGCGCAAAGTGTCCATCGCGAGAGGAAACGGTGGCGGTGATCCGTCCGTGAGTGACGCCCGTCTGGATGCCTCCCACTCCAAAGATGGCCACTGACGATGGGGTCCGCGGGAGCCGAAGTCGCTGCGCCAAGGATTCCGCTATCAGCGAGGTTTCTGAGCCCGGGTCGATCAGCGCGCGGACCGCATGCCGAGTACCCACGCGGTCGGCCACGAAGACACGGGCAGTTGCCAGAAGCGCCGGTCCACACTCCCGCGGTGGTCGCCTCGCGACGTGGACCGTCGCCGTCGAAGATGAGGATGCAGTCGCAGATAAGGCCACAGCCGCAAAGGCGTCGTGCAACGTCGTGTGATGCTGGCCTGAGCATGTAGCGCACGTCTTGTGCGACTTACAATCGGCTAGCAGGTGACGACCCAGGCAGTTCCAGCACCGCTGGTGAGTGTTGATGGCTTCCCGTTTCTCGCTAACCGTCTTCTTCTTGTACTGCTCACAATAAGCAATAAAGTGATCTTTTCTGCAGAGTGGACAGCTGCGGTTCGGATCAGGCCCCCTGGTACCCACATGGCTGCTGCGAGAGGAGCGGCTGAGCTTCTCCGTTGGCTTGGCAGGCGCTACGGTCTTCACTGACTGGAGGACCTCCCAGGTCATCAGTTGTTCCTGGAGGAACTCTCGGAGCTTGTCGTAGGACGGAGGCTTCGACGACCTCCCGAGGGAGCTCTCCCACTCACGACGAGTTTCAGCGTCCAGTAGCTCGACGACCAGGTGGACGAATAGATCTGTGCAGTCGGAGATCGGGCGCCCGATGCCCTTCAGTGCACCGACTGTCGTGAATACGCCGTGGAATAGTCGGCGTAGTCCATCGGCTGACGGGGCCTTCAATCGCGGCAGTGAAGTGAAGGCTGTCAGGTAGGATCTGACCAGTAAACGTTTATTTTCGAAATACGTAGTCAATAATTCCCACGCGTCCTCCAAGTTTTCTTCAGTAGAAGGCAGGTTGCGAATCAGCTGTTCAGCATCACCCTTTACGCTGGTTTTCAGGTAATGCAGCTGTTCAATCTTTGTCAAGGACGCGTCTCCTAGGACCATGGAGCTGAACAGATCTCGGTAGGCTGGCCAGTCCTCGAACTTGCCGCTAAACTGCGGTAGATTGATCCGCGGTAAGGTTCGGCGGGACGGAGCCGTCTCTCGGACCCGCTCGCCGAGGGCGAGCCCCGCAGGTTCGGTGAACTGCTCCTCCAGTCCGGCGAGTTCGGAGCGCTGCCCATAATACGCCGTCTCAACCTTGCTGAGGAGGTCCTCGGTGGTGTTCTCCCGCTTGATCTTCTTCCAGAAGTGGGCGCGGAGCTCTTCATGTTGCTCCGTGAATTTGGCCCATTTATCGTCCAGGACGCGGATTGCAGCCTGGACAGTGTGGGCGTTCAATTTGCTCGCCCCGATCTTCTTCAAGTTCTCCACGCTACGCAGTATGCGTAGGTAGAGCTCATGCTGAGCGTCGATTATTTGATCCATGTCCATTTTCTTTGTCACAGGTCACTGGACACTCACACGGTCACGAAGCACGCACTCACCCCGACGGCGAAGTTCAATAGGTGCCGGGCGCGACAAATTAACGACCTGTCGATTATCCGGCTCGAAGGACCAGCAAATGTGCAATATTCGATGCTACGCGGAGTGATTATAGTTAGTGCGCGGACGCGAGTGTCAAGTTTTGGGCGGCACAGAAAAAAAAGAAAATAAAGAAAGTTCACGGCACACAATATATTTTACAAATAATTATACAGTACAAAGGAAATGCTCTAATGCAAGCGAACTGCAATTAGAAGCGTGCAATGATTGCCGGAAGTGCAATCCAACGACAAAATCGATCTCCGTGAGAAGTGCGACGAAAATCGAGAAGAGAGAAAAGTAATGCTGTCTGTACGCGCGAACGACTGTACGACGATAGATCCGTTCGACAAGAGAGAGCGTGAACCAACGTGATTGTTTTCTACCGACCTTCGAGAGAGTTCCGAGGTAAAGAACACCGTGTTTGTGTTCCTTCCACATAATGATAGAATCCTCTCGAATGTCGGAGGGCAAAATCACTTGTTGTCGTCGGTTTTATGTTTGTTACGATACGGTTACCTGTCACCGTTCAAACGACAGGTATTGCGAGCGTTAAAGACGCGCGCGGTCTCGCGCGATATGGCGGGGCGCGTTCGCTCGCGATTGGCGCACGGAGATTTAGTGCGAATCGTCGCGCCAAATTCGAGCGGCTATTTTTCAGCGCAATTAGCTGCGCTTGTTGCAAGGCGCAGAATGCACTCCGAGATGCATTCACGCACACACACACACCCACACACACACACACTCTCTCTCTCTCTTTCTTTCTTTCTCTCTCTCTCTCTGTCTCTCCAATCCGCAACAAGAAAACATAAAACTATCAAGCGATATAAAGAGGAGGAGGAGGAATTGAAAAGGAAAAATATTATTTCGAAGCCATTGGACGCTTCACTGCCGACAACATCTACACCGATAAGCGTACTACCTGTGATACCCAAAGCACTCGTAGACGAAAATGTTTTCGAAACCACGCGTAACCCGCCCAAAATATCCCTTCGACACTGGTTAAGATCGCCGGAAGGTCGACAAATGATGCGAAAGGATTGGGGGCCATTAGGACAAAAGTACATGGACGCTCTCCTCGGTGCTGATGAGAAGAAAGAAATTGATAATGTATACGGAGTCTACTTCGGCGAAAATGAAATGCGGCTCGGCAGCAAGCGATTCGCGATTGACAAAGATGACACATTATAATCATAGGCGACACGCGGTACATTAAAACACCCGGATTGTACGAGTTGATCTTCAAGAAAAGACCTGATTACCGGGATGACGATTTGCAAAAATACAAGCACATATTATTGACGACAAACGTGCATAAACGCAATTTTGATGCGCAAGGTCGTGTGAAGGGTAGCAAGGGGGACAAGTACAAATATATAATTGCACCGTTGACGCGGGTGGAGAGCCCAAAATCTAGCATGGGAATGCCTCGCGCTATGACGCTAACCGACAATAAGATTGATTACGTGCACTGGGACGACCCTAACGAGCTAGTGGATCGCCTACGATTGCTCGACGCTTCGCGCCAAGCTGGCAACAACGCGCATGACAACGAGATCCTGTCGATCATCGAGAAACTGCGGGAAGCGGGCATTATTATAAATTAAACGGGGGTCCCGACAATCTATTTAGTTCATCGCGTGACACTTTACAAAGCATTGCAAAAATGTCTATCAATAAATTTGGATTATTCGAGAGGAGAATTGATACAACCGGCGATCATTGGCACACATTAATGAGACGATGTATGCGTAAAAACGCTCTATGTCGCGTTGCTACAGATTATGACGCGAGATCGCGCAAGATTCGTCGTGTAGCGCAACCTGAGGCGGATACCGATGCCGTCAACAAATTGTACTTGGAAGAGTGCTTTAAAACATTGATGGTCCAACAGAAAGAGTTAGATGAGAAGCTGACTGCGTTAGAGAAGGATGTACGAGCGTTGGAGACTGCGATAAAAGAACTTTTGCGTGCACCCAACACTACCTCAGACACAGACATCTAATGAGCGGTTGGCTCAGAAACGTTTATCAAACAGTTGTGAAACGTCTAGAAGGAATTCTCGAGTGGTTGCAAACGAACAGCTACGAAGGATTATCAGCGTGCTACCAAACAACAATGAGTGGCATCAGTGACCGACCCGGAAGCAGCAGTGAACGACCTGGAAACGGTGGTGAACGCAACCGCTACGATCGAGGTTACGAACATGTCAAGCAGGGCTGCGAACGAGGCTACGAACAAGTCCTTAAAGGTTACATACAAGGCTATCAACAACTCAGTAAGGGTTGCGAACAGGTCAGGGACGGTTACGATCGAGTCAAAAGCGGCTACGAACGGGTCAGAAGCGACTGTGAAAAAGGCTGCAAACGAGTCAAAGACGATTTTCGAATGGGTCAAGGACGGAAGTGAACGAACGTGAACGAACCCCGAAAGAACCCCGAAACAACCTCGAAACAACGTGGCACGAACGTGAACGAACCCGAAAGAATCCCGAAACAACGTGAAAAAACGAGAATGAATAGTGAAAATAACAACGAGCAACATAGTTTGGAGAGACGGCAGTTGGTAAACGAGTTGCATGCGTCAGCGAGAAAAAATTTCCCTCGAAGACATGTCATAGTGCGAGGATACGATGATCTGTGGCAAGCCGACATTGTCGAGATGCGTCCGTACTCTCGTTTTAACAGAGGTTACCACTACATACTCACCGTCATCGATGTGTTGAGCAAGTATGCGTGGGCTGTATTACTCAAGAGTAAAGGAGGAAGCGAGACAGCTGACGCAATCGCCAAGATAATTCGAGATAGCAAGAGATGTCCGAAAAACATGCAAACCGATAACGGGAAGGAATTTTACAACGCCGATGTGCAACGACTTATGCGAAAACATGACATTAATCACTATTCGACATATTCGGTATTGAAGGCGTCGGTCGTCGAGCAATTCAATCGCACGCTAAAGAACGACATGTGGAAGATGTTTACGCTGAATGGTACTTACAAATGGTTCGACATGCTGCCACGCCTTGTATCAGATTACAACGGACGCAAGCATCGAACGATTGGTATGCGACCCGCTGACGTTACCCCGCGATCGCCGAAAGACTCTTGGCTACCGTGTACAATCGTGTAAAAATTGCGGGCCCGGCAAAATTCAAAAGTAGGTGATCAGGTACGCGTCAGCAAGTACAAACAACTTTTCGAGAAGGGATACACGCCAAATTGGACAACCGAGGTGTTTAAGATTGTTAAAGTGCAGCATACTAATCCCGTAACATATCTACTCGAAGATTATCGCAAGACATCTATTGCTGGAGCGTTTTACGAGCACGAGCTGCATCGCGCAAATTGTCCGGATGTGTACCTCGTGGAGAAAATACTGCGCAGGAGGGGTGGTGACGAGGTTACGTGAAATGGCTAGGATTCGACAGTTCGCACAACTCTTGGATACATAAAAACAATGTTATTTAATGTATTTTATTCAATCATTTTATAACATACTATATATTGTGAGAAGGTAGATGTTTTAATGAGAGGATTCTCTTGTTGGGATGCCTGGATTCGCGGGTGTCAGGAAAGCCGCGGGAGAGGCGAACAAAGGGGTCTTGCTCGTGAGATGGTTGTAATATTATCACACCACGTTTAACTGAACTGATCTTTATTCACGCGCATGGTACTTACAAATACCATGTTCTCGCCGTGTGACTCTATATTCTAACAAAGCTTATGCCATACAAGTTGTTGCGACGTAGTTGAACGTCGCGCGCCCGACCACACTCCTTCGCTGTACTTTAGCTAATGTTACCGTCATGGCCGCCGCCTTCTTCCTCGTCGACCACGAGGTTTTGCGCCACTGCGCGCGCATCTCACACCTGCGCGCGCATCTACAGAAGCACCTATCCGCACGCAGGCATAGTTATACTATGCAAGATATATCTCGTAATATATCTTACAGCTTCGGCCATCCTGGCCTAGGCATTCGTCCCGAATGTTTTATTAAACTATCGGAACGACAGAGAAATAAAGTAATCAAATACAATAGACGCAATTATGCCTGAAACATAATATATTTTTTTAACCAAAAACGATAACGTAGGATAAGCAATCGGAACTTGAAACGAAAAATATTATTTTAATAAATTAAATAAATTTTCAAAATTAAATTAAAACTTATTAAATCACAATGAATAGAATGTTTGTACTTCGATTGCTTATAAAAATTATGCTTCTTAAAGCTATACTTAATATATAGTTGTAAACTTAGTCTAACGCAAGTTTGTTTATGAACTAATATATATATATATATATATATATATATATATATATAGCAATGTACAAATAATATATACAACGACTAGGTTTCTGGAATCGCTTTTATCCAGGGTTTGATTCGATCTGTGGACAATATTAAATCATATGGTTTAGACGAGACATTATATCCCGGTATGTCTTGGACTACATATCTATTTTTATCTAATATCTTCGCAATACGATATGTTCTTTATATTGAGACTTGAGTTTTTTGTCTTCTCCTGGTTTTACAGTGGAGTCTTTGATCATAACGAGATCGCCAACATTGTATTTAGTCGGTTTTCTATGTCTTTTATCATAGTAGGTTTATTATATTTTTTAATCATGTTAGTGGCCTCTACTGCTATTTCACGACAGGTCTCTCTGTCTTTCTGAAAATCTAATCGTTTTTAGCAATTATATCCAGAAAATCCACTAACTCAATGTCAGCGTTATTACGCTGTTCTATACCAAGCAGAACTTTAGAGGGGAAGCTTTTAAAGACGAGTGAAACGTATTATTCATCACGTATTGCACAGTATTTAGGTGTATATTCCAACACTCGTAATCGTCTATGAGTTTCCTAAGGGATGATTTTAGGAATTGATTAACTCTTTCTAC